AAGTCCAGCCATGGCAGGGGCCTGGGGCAGCTGTGGTTAATCCCCACTCTATAGACACATCCTCTCAAAGTGCTCCAAACCCTAAAAACAACAGTCACAAGCAGCACTTGAAATGTCAGTAAAACAAAATCCCTCTAAGCCTGTCCAGTAAACAGTCCCCGACCCTGACCTTGGGGGGCGGCCAGGGGCAGAGGGGACGGATCCAGCCTTGCTGCTGGCACCGGTGGGATGGGAAGCCTTTGGGAGGGCGGTGGAAGAAACATCCCAAGCATCTCCTGCAGCCAAATGGAAAGGAGAGTGAATAATTTCTTCCCGAGTGTAAGTCAGGCCGGCGGGTGCAGAGCTGCCTTACGCAAGGCACCGGAGAGCGTGTGGGGCGGCCGAGCCCGACGTCCCGGCCAGCCGCGCTGGAGCACGCTGGGCCCCCAGGAGCACGTTTCGGTATGCTGCGAAGTCATTGAAGCCAAATAAACAGCGGCTGCTGGCTGAGCTGGAGCCCAAGAGGCTGGAAGGACCTTCTTTTCCCTGGCAATAGGCAGCGTGGCTTTCGTAACCCTGGGAGGACGTCGCTGCTCGCAAACCCTTCTCCCCTCGCGGAGACCCGGCGGGCTGGCACCAGGAGGGTCCCTGCTCTTGCACCCCAGATGCTGTCTGAGGCCCTGAGAAAGAGCAGCCGCAGGAGCTTTCTCCTTCATGGGCTTGTTTGTAACCCTACGGTCCTCCATAAGCAGGGGACCATAACTTGGGCTGCTGCACTGTGCCTCCGTGGGCACGAGCCCCGGCTGCTCCCCGGGTGCCAAAGGGAGCCCGGTGCAGGGGCAATGCCTAAGTGCGGGTCCCTCTGCTCGCGTGACATTGGGTGACCTCAGTGGCCGAAACTGGCCCCGCGCGGGAGCGTATCACTTCCAAACACTCCTGATTGACACCGAGAGATGCTCGGTTCAAAGGCAAGGTAATGTGAGCAGATTAGTTAATGCTTCTTGCCCTAGCCCTTGAGAGCAGGGCTGGATCGGCAAGGCAGACTTAATGGGTTTTGAAGGCTTTTCTTTTTAAGATATGAATCAATGAAGCTGTACGGGGAGCATGGATAATGTGATCGGAATAAGAAACAGGGCTTGTCTTTGAACCGGAGCGAGGTCCCTGACGGTGTTTACTTCATGTCCTGGCACCAAATGCAAGATGACATGAATATATTAGCTTGCTGGCTTTCCTGAGCAACCCTTGCCACGCTCAGACCAGCTTCAGGAAGGAAAAGAGCAGCAAAGAGAATCTGTTTGGAAGTGTCGACTTGTTTCCCAATAACCCTGTCATCCTCGCTTACCGCTGAAGGGTCCGGCTGCGACGGGGGCTGCGCTCCCGGGAGGGCGGCCGGTTCCTGCCGGCGGGAGAGCTCGGTATGGGGGTGAAGGGGAAGGTGGTGACACCGGAGGCTGCTCAGGGTCCGAGGCAGTTTAGCAGCTGGCTGGTGCCTTGCCCACGCAGCCCCGTGGTGCTGGATCTGTCACCTGCTTCCTGAGCGAGCACCTCTTGCTTCATCCCTCCCGGTTGCATCGCAAGGCTTCAGTTTCCTCAAATCCCAGGGCGGGACTGGGGGTTTTTGCGACAGTTCCCAGGCCGGGACCAGGTT